GGTCGGGGTCAGGGTTGGGGTCGGGGTCGGGGTTGGGGTCGGGGTTGAGATTGGAATCAGGGTCGTGGTTGGGGTGGTCTCATTCTCATCTGGAATCTTGCTGGTGAAGCTGCTGGCCACACAGAGCTTGCTGGTGTCCTGTGGGGCCTTGCTGAAGGGCGACATGCCTGAGTGCACGCTGGTGTAGCCATTGGAGCTGCAGCTGAGTGCAGCCAAGTCCAGCGCCTTGCCACCTGTGATGATGGGAATGTTGAGGGACAGCTTCCGCCGGCGGCTCGGGGATGACGTGTTGATGGACAAAGGTGGTGGCGAGGAGAACTTGCGGGTGGCACGTGGGGACTTGGGGGGCTCTCCATACAGAAGCTTGTTGTTCTGGCCGCTGGCAAACAGGAGCTCCAGCGACCTGCAGGGAGGGAAGGCAGAGGAAGAAAGAATGGTTGGTATGGACCTGCCTGCCTGGTTTGCTTCAGGTCTTCGTAGGACTCAGGGTGGCTGACAGCAGTGGCTCCCTCACTCCCGTGATTCCTGAAACCCAGGGCAGGTCCTCTGGGTAGAGCTGATTCAGGGATGTGTCTATACATGCAGATGTCTTACTCTGAGTGGTTTGGGTGGGCTGTGGGTTTGGTGGCAGGGTAGGTCTAGCTGATGCTCCCTCTACTTCCCACCTGAGGTGCTAAGACCCCTGTCCTGCAGGCCTCTATGGCCTCTCTCCATCTACACCAGGCTGTTCTCATCTGTGTGCTCTGCCCTTGTCATTATACTTTATGGGTGAAAAATCAAGGCTCAGGGACAGGAAGCCACTCCTTTGGTGCCTCTGACCTAAATCCAGCATCCTCCCCCCACACCCCTACCCCACGTGGCACCTGAGGGCCTGTACATATAGACTGATATTGGGGGAGTAAAAGTGCAGTCCCTTAGCAATCTTGAGGCAAGGCCCTGGGTTCAAGGCCCCCTCAGCCACACTAGGAAAATCTCTTGGCCTTTTCAGACCCCAGCTCCCCAGTGGCAGAGCTGAGCTACAGAGACGTAGGTAGGAAAGATGGCTTTGAAGCCAAGGCGGCCAAGGGGACTCTTCCTCCATAGGTTGTACCTTCTAGCATGTAAAGTATGCCATAAAGGCCTTCTGTTCTGAGTCATAAGCTTCATTAGAGGAAGCTATAAAGCCATTAATCCCTTAAAGTGTCTAACTGGCCCCAAACTGGCAGCCTGGCCTTGCTCAAGCCTTATCAACTGGTCAATCCCTGGAGTGAGAGAGACTGTTTGTGTGGAGCCTACCTGTCTCCTTTAGTGCTATAGATAACTCACCCGCCTGTCTAAGATGAGACCCTCAAGGATACTAGACCTTGTCACAGAGTTAACTCTTGCAGCTGAATTCCTATATAAGACCAGACCGCTCCCCATTCAGAGAGCAGATAATCATTCCTCTAGGAAAAGAGCGATCAGCCCTTTGCTGAGCTTCCCGAATCCAGGGAGCACATTCCTTGCCTGTTGCAGGTCTGGCTCTGACTCTTATTTCTAAACTTTAAACTCCTTTTTCTCCCTCCTAAATCTACCAGCCATTGTACCCCAGCTTGTGGATCAGCCTCTCCTCCAGGGACCTCAAGGGCCTGGAAGGTCTGTGGGTTCAGGAGGGGGGTATATGTACCTGGAGGGGTTGGTGCTGATGGGATTCTTTAAAAATTGTGTACATTTAATTAATGTAAAATTAATTCATGTAGTGTGTGTGTGTGTGTGTGTGTGTGTGTGTGTGTGTAGCCTACACAAGCCACAGAGCCTAGGTGGAAATTAGAGCACAACTTGTGGGAGTCGGTTCTCTTCTTCTACCATGTGGGTTCTGGGAATTGAACTCTGGTCATCAGACTTGGCAGCAAGCACCTTCACCCACTAAGTTCTCTTGTGAGGCCCTGGGATTCTGATAGATGGTGGGGGTGGGGTGTGCGTGCACCTGGCAGGAATGGCGCTAATGGGCTTCTTGTAGATGGTGATGAGCTTGTCCAGGACCACCACAGCAGTGGTGAAGACACGATAGGAATGTAAGAAGGTGTTGAGGAAGTCAATGCTCAGGAAGCGCAGGTCTGTGAGCCGCTCTAGCAGTCGTTCCACGCTAGCGTACCGGATCTGGAGCACTTTGCAGGAGTTCATGGTTTTACTGAAGCGAATGTCAACGTCATCACAATACAAAGAAGCATCAGACCTGAGGAGGAAGGGAGGGAGGAGAAAAAGGTGGTGTGTGTCTAAGGTTGTTTAGACCCATGGTGTAGTTCCATCAGGCTGGGGTCACTGCCAGGTCATCCTGTCAACCTCTATCCCCAAGTCAGGAACAGTCTCACTGAGTAAGCAAGGAAAACCAAAGCATAGCATTAAGGAAGAGCTGTAACTCCATTCCTTAGAATCCTAAAAACCTAAGTACAACCCTTAGGAGTATTGGAAAAACACAAGAAACTTAAAAGAATGTGTTGCCAAATTCTTGAGATATACAGGAACTCTATTCACATGAAAATATGCACCTGGATGTTACAGAGGCATTACTCATAATACACCAGAATGGAAACAGCCCAAATGTTTGTCAGCAGATGAGCGAATGAATGAAATAGAGTGGGATATTACTCAGCCATGAAAAGGAGTGGAGGACAGACACATGCTACAATGTGGCTTAGCCTTGAAGACACTATGCTAAACAAAACAGGCAGACCCAAAAGACCACACACAGTGCTCGGGGTGCAGACAAACTGGTCTTCTCTTTTGTACCATTTCTAAGGAACTTTCTTTGGGAGCTGGTGGCATGGGTTGGTGGTAGAGCACTTGCCTAGCATGTGTGAGGCCCTAGTTTCAACTTCTAAAGAACCTTCTCTGACAACATTCCTGGGATTTGAAATATCAACACACAACCTTTTCCCTGAGTGTCTCCACCAAGCAGGGAGGTGGGCCCAGGAGGTGAAGAAATAGAACCGTGGATTAGGGCAGCATGTGGGCAAGTGGCAGAACCACAGGCCAGAGTCCCACCTACATGACACTTGCTTGTCCTGCTTCTCACGGACTGTGTCAGCCTTCCCTGCAGCCAGCCCCAGAGTGGAAGTCAGATGAGTGGGCCCAACAGAAAGAATGTGGAGAAAGCCAGAAAGAAGGCCCACAAAACACTGGCAGCTTAAAGATACCATCATGAAGAAATGAAGAGAAGGCCTCCTAAGTCAGCTTTGCTGCAGGATACAGAGCATTTTAGAAACTTTCTGGATCATGCTTCCACCAAGATGCAGGGAAAGGTCTCTTGCAGCTACAGGATTGTGAGAAACATGGTGAGTAATGTGGGGTCAGGAAGATTTCCTGGTCATGAAAGGCAGCACATGTGCAGGAAACTGCTGACAGGACGCCCAGAAAATTAGATGAGGAACATTGTAAAGAGCACAAAGAAGGGAGGGCTAAGGTGAGGACATGGAACGGACGGGGAGCGGCTTTACTACAGATCTCTGAAGGGAGAGCAGATGGTGCCAAAGTGAAAGAAGGATGTGGCTGCAGAGACAGGGCTCCCCAGGCGGGACTGCCACCTGGCTGCGCCTACCCTAGTGGTAGTTGTCCTGGGGTGAACCTCCCCTGCTGTGAAGCTTGGTTGTTTAGAGGGAGCATGCAACTCCACACACACCATGGATGCCTAGCATCCAGCCAAGGCTCAGTGTTCAAATGGTGATCAGTAGGTCCCTCTGGCCATGGTTTACTCCTAGCACCTTCTCTGGGGGTTCCTTCTGCCACTGGGGAGGGTGTAGAAAGGGAGAAGAGCCCTCTCCCATCCATCAACCTCCCTTCCCTCTTCTCAGATCAGTTGGTCGCAGTGTCTTTGATCCCTTCAATAAAATATGAACCTATGTGAATCTCATCTTCCCTGTCTGTATAGTGGGAGGGTGCACTAATGCAGTGGACTGGTGGTAGCTACATGGGGGCTGTGACCAACTGGAGAGACCTCAGGGATCCATTACAATGTCTGTGGTCCCTTAGGATTTGAACATTCAACTATAACTTCAGCTCTTTGCTTCTCCAACACTTGGTGAGAGATCCAAGTGATATTCCTGCTATCTAGGCACAAATAGAGGCTTTGGCTTGATGAGAAAGGAATTATCTCTTTCTGTTTCCTTCAGAAGGACGGCCCCACCTCAGTCTGTCTGTCCTGAGGCTACATGATGGGGCAGAGCCTCAGCACCCACAAGCCTGGGTGGATGGAATGAGCCTTTGCAGCTCCTTGAGGGTGCTAGGAGTTGACCTACTGAGACTAGTGCACAGAGCTAGGGCCCCAAGGTACTGCTGTAGGGGATACTGGCACATTCAGGACCCTGGGACATGATACCACTTTGTGTTGGGAACCCCAAATCAGAATGCTTTTGTGTAACAGTCTGAGAACAGAGCAGGATGCCCAAAAGGGGACTATGCCAGAAACTCTTGAGACTCCTGGGGGACCTGTCTCGGTATGCACTCAGGTTCCCCAGCTCCGGCCCCTTGCAACCCTACCACCTCCAGAATAAAACCCAACAGTTTGCCAGACATAGCACCCTTTTATCTGATTCCCACCCACCTCACCAGCTCCACATTTCACCACATGGTGTGGGTCACTTAGAAACAAGAAGTGAGATTAAGTACAGGAACAGTTTGTGAGATGTGACAGACACATATAAATTAGAGCATTTGTGTGCTGAGTGAGGGCAAGGATCAAAGGACCAAATGGGTACCAAATATTCATGGTATAGTTAATATTCATTCATGAGGCATAAGGGATGTTCAATATTCATGAGGCCTTAAACCAGCCATCTACTGATGACACCCACATGCAGATAACATCATGGCTGTTGGTTAGGCTAACAGATGGGTTCAGCTGTGGTCAGGCATGTGAGCCCCTACATCTGGGGGAGTGTGTACTATTAACCTAAGCACCTTTTATGGATTGGGATCATTCTATTCAACTTCCACTGTGGTCCTTGCAGCAGGGAAGGCTGATGCAGCCGGGGAGAAGGAGGACAAGTGAGCACTGTATAGCTGGGACTCAGGTGATGTGATCCTGCCACTTGCCCACATGCTGCCCTAATCTATGGCTCCATTTCTCCACTCCCAATCATGCTTCTTGCTATGCATTTCAAATGGACTCACTAGACCCTATGGTAAACATCTTCATTTGGTCTATGAAACTTTCTGTTCCAAGACCTCTGTAGTAAGTGGTCTGGTAGCATACCTGGAGACCACACTTCACCCAGTTTACTGCCTGCACATGCTACTAGTCCCATAGCCCTGCAACTCCATGGGATAATTATCATTTCTCAAACACACTGAACTGCATTGCCTCTGAGTCTACACTTAGACTGTTCCTTCTTCCCAGAATACCTTTCCATTTAACAAACTCCAACTGACCTTCTATGTCAGCGCTGGGTTCCGTTCTGAGGGAAGCCTTGCTCAGCTGTGGCAGGTGAATCAGTCCCTTGTCCCTGGACTCTTCCAGCACTCACCCCACTGTCTCACAGTGACTTCCTATGCACCTCTGGCTCACTGCACAGTGTGACCTCCCCAGCAACAGAAGCCAGCCAGGGTCATTCATCACTGCTTCCTCAGTGCCCTCCACTAGGAAGACCTCGCCCAAGGCTACAGTGGAGAGGGAGGCCAGGGTCCCTCTGGGGGCAGATGGGTCCTTGGAAGAGCCATTTTTCTCTGGATAGTTCATTTTCTTTATTACCATTATAATTTAAAAAAATTACTTTTTCTTTCACATATGACTTCAGTCTTCCTGTGCCAATATGTCATTAAACATGGCCAGTAGGCCTTCAACATACATTTTAAGGCAATTCCATGTGTGATTTAAAAGTTTTATTATATATTTTTTAAATTCAATGTATATGGATGTATTGCTAGCATGTATGTGAGTGCACCCTTGTCATGCAATGCTCACAGAGGTCAGAAGAGGGAGTTAGATCCCCTGGAACTGGAGTTACAGGAAGTTGTGAGCTGCCAGCTGTGTGGCTGGGGAATGAACTTTGGTCCTCTACAAGAGCAACACGTGCTCTTAACCACTGAGCCATCTTTCTCAAAATGTGATTTTTTTTTGTCTTTTTGAGACAGGGTCTCCTTGTAGCCTCAGCTGTCCTGGAACTCACTGTGTAGACCAGGCTGGCCTAGAACTCACAAAGATCCGCCTGCCTCTGCCTCCTGAGTGCTTGGATTAAAGGTGTGCGCCACCACGCCCAGCTCAAAATGTGATTTAAAAAAATTATTTATTTTGATTTTATGTGTATGAGTGTTATGCCTGCATGTATGTAAGTGTACCTGTGTTGTGTGGTGTCCTTGGAGGACAGAAGAGGGCATTGGATCCCCTGGAACTGGAGTTACAGATGGTTGTTAGCCTCCATGGGGGTGCTTGTATTTGAACTCGGGTCTTCCGCAAGAACAGCTAGTGCTCCTAACTGCTGAGCAATCTCTCCAGCCCCCCAACATGTGATTTTTATTTGAGTACTAAAACAAATCCATGAGGGAAGAAATTAGGTATAATCATGTCGTTTGCTCAACTTGGGAAGGATCAGTGACTTGTTCCGGGTGCACCTGCACACATCCAGGTTAGAGAGCAGGGCCACTGTCTTCAAGACCAGCTCCTTCTGCTGGCCCCATGACCTCTAGGTATCTAGCAGATACCTAGTCCCGAGAGGAATGGTGCCTCATCAATTGTGCAGAGTTTTAAACAACCTGCTGTACATGAAGCTGTCTTGATTGGCCTCCAGCACCACAGTAGGCTCATATGTGCTTGCCTTTATCTTGGTGGCAAGTGTGAACAAAGGGAGTCTGGCACCTTTCAGACACTGAGTCCTTTTGTATGTAAAGTCCCAGAGCAGGCGCTGGAAGAAGCAGAGAGGCCATGGGCAGTGGGACTCTGGGAGGTAGCTGGTGATACCAGCAGGCTTGGGATTCAGAGGTTGGGATAGAGGCCAGACAGCCAGGGTGCTGCAGGGTGAATTCAGGAAGGAAAGCCAGAGGGGCGTGTGAGGTGGGAGTCACTGGAGGAAAGATATCTCATGTGGATCAGGGGAGCTGTGTTACAGGGGGTTGGAGGCTGGGAGAGCTGTGTCCAGCAGAACACCAGCCCTTTTGTCCCCAGGGTTGTTTAAACAGGTCTAGTGGCCCTGTAACTGCAGCCTAAAATTTGGTTTTTCTGTATTTTTGAAATGTTTTATTTATTACTTTTGTAATTAGGAAAATAAAACTACTTAAGAAACAGTATGTGAAGTTTCATTCTTAATATTATATTTTATTTAAAAAATTTAAACATTTATTTTTATTTTATGTGTATAAGTGTTTTGCCTGCATGTATATAAATGTGCCACTTTGTGTGTGCAAAGCCTGAGGAAGCCAGAAGAGGGCGTTGGATCCCCTGGAACTGGAGTTACAGATAGCTGTTAGCCACCATGTAGGTGCTGGGAACTTATCCTGGGTCCTCTGCAAGAATAGCCAGTGCTCTTAACAACTCCTGAGCTCTCTCTCCAGTCCCAGTATTATCTTTTGAATGGTTAAATATAAAATAATCAACATTGTACAAAGCAAACCAACCACAACAAAAGTTAAGCCAAAGCAGTCATCCAAACAGACATCTCGAACTCCCAGAGATGAAACCTGGCATCTTCTGAGCCCCAGGGACCAGCCTTGCCCAGTATCCTGGCTGTCTCTGAGTAGATTTTAGTCTCTGAGATGCAGACAGGTTAAGGAAACTAACTTACTTGATCATCTGTGGTACAGTGACCTTGGAATTTTCTTCAAATGCGTTCATCATGAGCCCATTGCACCGGATATTATCCACACACTGGAAAGAGAGGATACCTTAAGTTTAGAGCCCCAATTTCCATACCGGGACCTAGACCCACCTGGAGCTCAGCCCACTGAGAGGTTTCCCTATCACAGAGTCCTCAGGCTTCAAGGGTGGTGTCTGGCCTAGGATGAGGCCCACACAGCATCCTTCAGACTTAGGAAGTCAAGTTCCTTAGGGGACTGAGTTGACTTTCTTGAGTCTTCACTACCTGATCTGCCCAGATAGGCCTAATGACTCCTGCCTCAGTGCAGTTATCACTGGCCACTCTGCTGCCACCTCTAAGGCCAGTGGCAAGGATGAGGTTGCCCCACAGTGATCTGGGATCTCTGGGGGCTTGACCTGGCAGGCATCTGAGCCCCTGCATCAGAGTATATATGGTGCTGTGTCCCCTCTGCCCCATCCACAGTGCGAATACTCTTATGCTGGGGATAGTTTCCATATTACTAATTCACTCATTTGAGGGGGTGCCAGGGGAAGTACGCGGGCTGGCAACAGGGCTGATGACTGGATATTTAGTTTCTGAAAAAAATCTAAAAGCAGAATTCTGCTTTGAATAAAAAATATCCTCCCAAACAAAGCTACTCTCCTGTGTGAACTTGGGCTACATAGTGAGACACTCTTCAGAACAAAAACCAAACAAACTCATAAACTAAATCTCGGGGAGGGGCTGCTGCTTTTCTCTTCCCAACTTCTGCTCTGAGCTTCACATTTCTGCTATGGAGGGCTCCTCCTGGATCGAAGTTAGGGGGGTTTCCATCGCATATCACAGAATCTTCAGGTTTTGAGGTTGTGTGTGTTAGTGGGGGCTGGTGCCAAGGCCACTGGGAGGTAGTAGCCAGAAGGCTGGCACAGTGGGTGGCAGATGCCACCAGCCAGGCTTCAGGTCAAAGCCAGGACCCCAAACAGAGTAAGGTTTCTGTCATTTGGTTTTCAGCCTAATTTCTTCACTCGTGACTCTGAGACTTTGTGTTCATTCTACCAGCAAGTCCAGTTAGAATGCTTGGAGGCAGCAGAGGGCCGGGAGACACTGCTGTGGCTGCTCTGGAGGGGAGGGTCTAGTGGACCCACACTCAAGGACATCAGCAATCTGCCAGAGGTCAGAGATCTCTGTGGATCCCTCCAGGGGAGAAGCTGGAATCTTTGATGGCTCTGGTTCACTGGGGACAGGAAAGGACTGAGCCCTATCTCTCCATTTTCTCTAGGGCATTCTGTTTATTTTTTTTTTTTATGAGACTCAGAACAGATCCATGTTCTGCATAATCCCACCCTGCTGTAGTCTTCTGTGGCTGTGGGAAGTGGCCAGAAGGCCCAGCCACCAGCTATTTGCCAGGCCAAGCAACGCTGATGTCTGTCAGCAATCTCTCCAGCCCTTCTGCTGAATTTTTTTTTTAATTAGAAGAAGCATTTCATTACAACAGCATTGACATAGTCAATAACAATTTCCAGTGCTAAGATGCATCTCTTTCAAAATTGGCTGTAAATTTTTAGGTATATAGTTGAATTAATACAGTTATACAATACTGTACTGTCTAAACCCTGTAAGACATAAAATGAGGTTTTAAACTTTAAAAAAAAAAAGATCTCCATTTCATTATTAAAATACAGTTTCATACAGAAATCATTTTTAATGCAATTGACACTAAGATGTTTGCACATGCGTTTCTAATCTCTATATATCTGATTATTACTAG